GAGCACGTTAGCCCTTGTGTCGATGGGACTGGATGACGGTCGCTAACTGGAGGTACGAAAATGTGGACAACTGGGTTCCGACCCAGTGGCTGAATGGTTAACGTGATCACCGAGACGGTCTTGGGTTCACTGCTGTCTGGTGAGGCTGAGGGCCCACACTCCGGAGGGGTACAATACTACGACCAAACAGCTGTCTAGCGCTGAAAGGTTTTCAATAGCTCTGTAAATGATGTCCATTCCTGACGAATACCACCTTGGTAACAGTGAGTTACTTTATGGATTACCGTCACATCTTGGGGAGATGATCATCGCAGGATTGATTTCCTACGTAGTTATAACGAGGTGGTAAATAATTTCTGATGAAAGTAACCTTTCATACCAAAACAGCATTCTAAAAACGTGGTATTTGTGAGCAGTACTCACCACCTACAGATAAGCAGTTGGGTTAAGTATTGAAGTAAGACAGATCCAAAGTGATGGGAAGTAAGAAGATGCCAAATGATCGGTGATTAAAACTTGCAAGGATGACAGCTGAAGTCTGCTGAAAAGCTGTTTGGTGACAAAACTCAAACCAAAGGTTAGTAGACCAGGTAGGTCTTCTGTCGGCTTCAATCATCAACTCTGTGTAGATAAATGTCAGTTCGCCATTCAATACTACCTCAAAGAGGGAAGAAGATGCATCAGCCACGATTGAGAAAGAAATTGATATTCCTTGAAAATAAACTGTAATTTATGCAGAGATGCGAAAAATGGCCCCAATTGACAGACCAGTTTTCACTGCCCAACCGAGTGATAAAACACAATTTGTGTGAACGCTACGAAACTGTATAGTAGTCCAGACCGAAGCAGATGGCAATTTTAGGGAGCCACTCCTTTAGCTTGTGCTTGAAGTCTGGTTTTCGAGGTGACGGAGCAACGTCGAAAAGTATCATCTTGGTGGCTATTTGTTTGCTCTGCGATTCGGAGTATATGTGCTTAGTGTTTTTGTAGTCAGGGTTTCGTGAGTCTCTCAAGAGGAGTATCTGAAACTAGAAATTCAGTTTATGCGCTCAGAAATGTTTCATTCTTTTTTAATTTAGTGGGTATTCTCTCGCCACCTGTGATTAGTTGCCATGCTATTTTTCCAGCTCTACATCTGAAATAACCATTTTTCTGGCTTGATCTCTATCTATGTAACTTATTATTTAATGACCGGCTGGTTAAGTTTATCACTAATGAAATTACTACCACTCCTGGAGGTGAAATTTCTAACTTCGTTCCAACAATCAAGTAACATACAAAAAGGTCAGGGGCACCAGAAAAAAGTAACGTTTCGTCTTACTGGCTACAAAGTTAGGTCTTTCTAACAACCAGTTACTGACTGACTAGTCACCAGGAGATTACGAATCAACGCTGTTAGAAAACTAACTTCCAAAGTCAGTGTAAACAACATAAGAGTCTAAGGTGGTATGTCAGTAAGTTTTTCATTCTATACCACCGAGTTATGAGGTGAATAAATCTGATGAAGACATACATAGATGAAAAAGAAAATCTCTGTCCGATATCTCAACCATTTCAACCAATCTAAGTGGATAAACCTGATGCTCAGTGAAGGGGTACAGTCTGTGCTCAACATACAGGCGTTATCATTCATACTCCCACTAGTCAATCAAGCTACTTGTAAGCAGTGAATTTAATGATTTGCAGTGTGCCTTTTTGGACAATAACTTGAGACTGGATAGGTAAATTGGGTTTATTCTATTTTACTATCATCATAAATTGTCGAGAATATATATGCATCAACAAAAGTTAGACACTACTGCAAAACGAAGGAATTTTTTCAAGTTTTATTTCATTTCCCAATCATAAATAAATCAATTAGGTGTTTTTCGCAAGCTTTTTTTCCAATTTTATTACAAGTACAAATTATAGCTTTCTATGTAACATACACACACACACATACATGCAAATCATAACCCTGTCCAAACATGAACGCAAGATTATGATACAGCTTTCTACAGTATGAACAACTAAACTATTAGGTGAGAATACTGACTCAGAACTTGCTCACAGAAATAAGATATCAATTGATGAGATTATATTAGGTGCACAGTTACGCCTGACCTCCACAGTATTCAAGTTTCAGAGCAAAATATACAAACAAAGAGGAGTGGCAATGGGATCGCCAATATCCCCAATCGTAGCAGATATATTCATGGGCAGTTGGGAAAACATGGCTTTACAAACGTTTAGTATTGCACCTAAGATATGATGGTGATATGTGGATGACACATTTACTGTGTTGAAATTGGAAAATATCGACAATTTCCTCACACATAAAAACTCAGTAGTAGACGCAATCCAATTCACTTACAACGTAGAAAATAAACAAGGAGAATTAACCATGTTGGATTGCACGATAAGACGAAGGATAGATGGTGGTTTGGATACTACCGTTTACAGAGAACCGACACATCCTAACAGGCATCTAGACTTCAAGTCATCTCATTCAAAGTCAACTAAGTCAGGTTTAGTCAAATGTCTAAATGATAGAGCTAGAAAACTGACTAGTCAGTGCAAGGACTTAAACAAGGGACTGAAGCAAGTAAAAGAAGCGCTGATAGTTAATAATTATCATCTGCGAATTATCAACAAATTCGTACGAACAAATAAGAACGAAACAATAACGGTATCAGGAATACGAATAATAATGACAACACGAGTAGAAAGGAATTCACAGCCTTTTTGTTACCGCATAAGGAAGGAACGTCAGAAGCTTTACGTAGGATTCTGAATAAGGCTGAAATTCGGATGATATTTAAACCTACAAACTCACTCAGAGATACGCTTTGATGGCTTAAGGGTCCAATTAAGCAAAATAATCTAATCTACCAAATTCCATGCAATGACTGCGAGGTCAAGTACATAGGTTAAACTAGTCGGTCGGGGTCAGTTAGATTAGCGGAGCATAGGAATTCAGCGAAATATAGACCCCAATACGATCAGTAGTCTAGAAAAACACCTCGGCTATTGCAATGCTAACACTTGGACACAACTATATTAGTAGGGTGGGAAAAACCGCTATACAGTACTTATGTCCAACATAATTAGGTGGAGAGATTGATTACTGAATCTTTGTTCATCGAAACAACACCCAACACGTGTAACAGGGATGAAGCAACACCTGTACCAGAGATACGGAAAATTTTAACGCTACCAATAAATACAAAGAATATGAGGTGACAGGATTATAAAAATCAGATGTCGAAAGTAGTATGATCACACTGATGTGATTATGTTTGATTTATGCTTGAAACGTCACCAAGTAAATAATACTATATCACTGTGTTATAAATCAAACTGGCAAACCTAATATAGAATACTGTTTAACCTATTAGACAGATATCATGAAATCTATACGCTGACACCATAGGTGAAATGACCAAAAAGATATTTTTGATCATCAGCATTGAGTGTAGGATATTAGGTAGAGTATGAGAGTCATTTCGATGCGGTTGCAACATACTATACATCATCAAGTTATCTCTCCCGATATATAACACCAAACAAAGGGATCTAGAATGATTACACCACTAGGACAATAAGATATTTAACCGATTCTGAATCTTATTTCAGGGTGTGGTTTATTCTAATGATGATATACATCACCGAATAATAAACATTTACACTACACAAGTGGAAGGAAATATAAGAATCAGTGACCTGCATAGACAATAGTCAGTGGATATGTGAGGCGATGACTTATCGAGTCAGGTGTTCGACTGTGGGTTACCGGTTAGAATGGAAGATTAGACCTGGAAATGAAGTAAATCGGTTTCAGTTGCCACTATCCACAGCAGCATGCAAAGAGCAAGCGGATAGGAAAGGTGATATTAATGTTGACACAATTTGTGTCACTGTGACTGATAGTTAGCTGTGCCTCCAAGATTCGCCAGCCACTGATTCTTACCATCTCGAGCAAATCAGCCAGTCCACATCGCTCAGTAAATGACCTCGTAGGTCGGTGTCATTATGTCTTGGCCTGGACAACTTAAGTCTTCTTCCAACCCGATCATACTTCTCCTAATGTTGCACGTCAAACCACCTAAGTTGGATAAGGTTCACAGCCTCGTCGACTAACATACCTGTCTAGTATTCTTCGCCTAAACTCGACATTGCACACACGGTGATCCGACCATATACGAGAAATACTACTAAGACATAGATGGTCTAAATCTTGTAGTCTCTTCATTTCATATTTTTTCAGAGGCCAAATCTCATAGTTACATAAAATAACTGCAGCGGAATAAACTTCTTCGGTAGAAAGTCAAATATCTCAATAGAGGTAATGCACGTTGGCAAATGTAAAACGAGCCTTTTATATTTGAGCTGGGATTTCTTCAGTAACCAGTTGATGCAACCGTCCAAGTAAGTGAAGTGGTCAACTAACTCCACCACTTCACCTCTTATTCCAACACTACGAGCAGATGCAGACCAGTTCTGAAACATTCCCTTACATATGACAGGTACGAAACACATGCCAAGCATACTGAGATTTCTGATCAAGACGCACACGAAACTCTGCATTATCGTACAAGTCAATAAGGTGCTCTCTTAGAAGTCAATCTCCGAAGAGTCAGAGGTACATAGCACATGTATAACGAACTTAAACAGGAATGGTGAGGGTGGATATTCTCAGATGATCACTGGTTGTTGTTACCTCAGGCGACAACCTATTATAATTCGATGCACGGCTGCATGAGTGCTTTGATTAGCACAATATACTTGCTTTAGTCAGACAATGCCACACCTGTCGGTCAATGGAGTAAAATGTTGTCTTGGAGTCATGAAATATGTGTCACGCACCAGTAAGTATTCCAAACCAAGGTGCCTGGTTTTGATGAGCTCCAGTTAGACGTCGCATAACTATGGACAACGGTGGAAACACAACCCACATGGACCTCGATTCGGATAGGTGCTATCTTGCTTCCTCGGTTAGTCAATCTTTAAATGGATTAATTGTGGGTGAAAAGTATTTATTCAGACTTTGAGAGAAAAAACAAGCGATTACATTGTTCAACAACACGTTATTACATAATGGTGATAATATATGGAGTATAGTCGAGTAGATTAAGTAGGAGCAGGCGGAATGTATGCATACGAGCGCGTTTGACAATGAAGAGAACCAATATGCAGTAGTAAATAACAGTAATGCTAATAGTAAGAATATACTGAAGTTTATAATTTAGAAATAGTTAGAAATGCGTTTATATATATGGCCTATTTTTTCAATAATACAAAAAGAAGCACCATTTCCTCTCTCTTTCCACACACGTACACACATTTTGTAAAATGAAAATTAGAATAAGTGCTACATTGCTGAGATTATGTGTAGTCATGGAGCAGATGCACATAAAGGAAACGAATGCCTTGCTGAAGAATACTTCACACTTGAATATGTATGTATGTGTGTATGGCAAGAATGAAAAGAAAGTAAAACAATACGGTTATATACTCACGGATTACAAATGAAAATCGTACAGCACTCATACTATGCTTGCTTTTTATAAGCAGACATACGACCACAAACCAGCTGTTGGGGTCACAAACACACGCGTACGTACTGCTCAGGTGTTATCATCGAAATACAAAGACAAAGAAAACGGTTATGACCATGATATGAGATAGTAACAATCTAGTTTGTAAAATTATGGTAAACGTTACGTTGGACACATGATTCTGTTTGTTGCTTATACAACAAACAAAAAGTATCTATTTATGGTAAAATAAAGAAGATTGAAAAAAAAGAAAACTGGAGATTCATCGATTACTAGCCGATAATAATCTTCATGATGAAATGTGCTTTCATATTACGTCAAGACGATAGCCTGGATAGTTGAGGGAAGCATCACCAGTGGTTTCTTCATTCATGATTTGAATAGACGAACGGGAAATAACAGCGGCAACATTAACATGACAGTTGTTGAGTCGACCAGCATTCACTCCAAGCCATATCAATATTTCTTCCGTGTCATAGGCAAGTATTAAAGAAACCTCAAGTTGTGCGTCCTCACCTTAGAAAAGACAAAAGATCAAGTGTTACTCATCCAAAAGTAATATAAACTACGAAAAAACACTGTTGAAAAACTTACCACTCCATGACTCTTTCCCAACAACTAAAGATTCTAGAAGGGAACACGTAGGTCGTACATCAGTAGCAACATAGTAACGAGCTCGAACACGTTTGAACCACTCAGCGTCAACATAGTTTGGATTTCCTCCTCCTGGGAGAAATGCAACATCAACATACATCGGTTTGACTTTATCGTATGGTGCCACTTTAGGACCAGTAGCATGGCCAGAGGCAATGGTGTAACCAGGAGCATAACTGAATGATAGGCTAGATCCAGTCAGATGTGTGCCTGCACGCGGAGCAAGAGACAGACGACCTGTAAGGGAAAAATACAGAAATTAGGAATAGGCTAACATACATTTCTTGTAGTGGAGAACTATTATTATAGAGTGAATGCTACAACATCCTAACTATAGAAACACAAAACTAACTCATCAACCAACACTCCATATAGAAATGAATACATACGGTGACAAATATGTGTACGGTCTTTATAAACATGATACATCCTTCACATCGAACCCTTTCTAATTGACAGAAGTCCATTACTGTTATCAAACTCGGTGGTGAACATTCTAAAATCAATGGAAAATTGATATTGCGAGGTATTTGTATGCGTGTTAATGAGCAAACTCAGTGAACACTACTCTTCATACTATACAATAACAGATTAATATCACCTTATCTTCAAACTCACTAGTTTTGGTGACATTTACTGAAGTAGCACTGACAGACGTATTTCTTCTTATTGGCATATGAGCTGTAAAAAGGAAAGGATAGGATAAAAAGTAATTCTGCTGACAAATTTAACGTGAATTACCAAATTTTTTTAAAAATATACGAATAGTGGTGCAACTAGGAACATAGGTACATATTCATTGACAGAATTTGACAACAATATATAAAATATGGCAAGCCAAGTATACATTTGAACTATTTCTGTATACTCACATCCCCGTTTCCAGTACAAAGTAGAGAGCTTTTAGGTCCATCATTCTCAGGAATCCCAAAATGGAAGACTTTTTCAGTTATAGAGAGTATGTTAAGTCAAATTTATGATTGTCATTCACATAGGCAAAAATGTTCAACTGCCTTAACGATAATTACATACAGGACAATAAGGGTTATAAACTACTGCCTTTCTCCTACATATCATAGTACAAGGTCTACGTGAATAGGTGTCCGAGCGACATTTTGCAACTACACTGCAATATGAATAGAGTTATATGAAGCGTACATGATCTACCAATATTGAATCCCCTTAGTGAGTTTCTTCTGAGTGTTTACAGGCTTTTGCAGCATTGCAAACATGAAGGCTCAGCGCAGTCACAGACTACTCTTAAGTTGTACAGAAGCACTTTGCACTACAATAATGCAAACAAACACATTATACTTACTGATGCATAGTGAACAAATTAGGTCTAAGTGACCCGTATCTTGTCAACCAGTAAGATCTCGCTTATTTATTCAAAGCAGAATGACCTTTCCTCACTACAGCGTAGCTACACACCACAGTGACTTCGATACACCTAATATGACTTTAAAACAATGAAGCTTAGTGGCTGTTAGTAAACCATCCACATATGCTCCTCTCTTTAACAGAAAAAAAACTAAAAACAATTCTTATCAACCAATCGCAAACAGCTTTTCTGTCCAGAAACAAAACAGCTGTTGGTTTCCGAACAGTTTGAATGAAATGAAGCAGTTTACTAGAACTGAATACAATAGCACAAACACAATTGGACATTCATGCTGAAATGATACTTACGGGCTGTTTTCTTTTCTCCATTTGCAACGGCTGCAGGTTTTTTCAAAGCTTCAGAGCCTACACGAAAGGTAGTGAATCAACGGAAAGATGTATGATTGACTACAAAGGTTTAAAATAATAGAATGTGAAGGTAGTCGTTTAACAGCATAACTTTCGACTGAAGAGCCCTTGAGTCAAATCCTGCTCCGCCTAGTTCAAACTAAACGATTGGATAGTAACATAAATCCCAACACAATAATTGCAACTTTTTATTAACTTGGCACGTAAATCTATAATATGATGAGTGACACCAAAAAATCATGAGAAGTAAAACTCCTGGGCTGTTAAGGGTGAAATTTATCACCCAATAAGTTTACTCGCCTCAAGAATTTTGTAGCCTTTGTGTAGAAAAGGATATATTTACACCTTTTGGATTGGCATTATTTACCAGATCAATTCAAACTTGTTGAAAAGTGCACGCATACGTACCTACTTTGTATAAGAGAAGCCTTAGGGTGATACATTATTTTAAATCAGAACTGTGTGTGCAGAAACAGTTTATACACGGTTCATTTTACTACTGTCAACCTAGTTTATCAATGTTATTCATTACATGTTTTACACAACTAGTGATATAGACTAGCCAGTTGGGGTCCGCAGGACACGAGAAACCAGCGGTTAGAGACTCTAGATAATACGGCTCGGCGTATACACAAATTATCATCTTAACCGACATACTTCATCTTATCATTTTCTTATCCCTCCTTCTCTTTCACTACTTCCTTTGGCTGATTTTCATTCCTTTTTTATCTTCCATTTTATTGTCTTATTATTATTATTATTATCAATATCAACATAGGACCAGGCATTACTGCGTAACGGTTCGAGTTGCCACAGCATTGTCTTGTTACTTGATGTGGGGATATGAGGTGTGACAACTTGGGCCTGTATGTAGTAATGTCTGGTCCTATAGTGATCTTGACAACGACTAGTTGTCCCTGATTTTATGCCATTTAACTCCGTTTGATTCTATTACACTATAATATTTTCATATTACTTGCTTTTTATCTGATCACATACACGATCTGGTTGACATTCACATTTGCCGTCTTTATTTAACAAATTTGAAGTGAAATCACACCGTGTCCATTCACTCATATTATCGAGTTGATTCGATAATTCATGGAGCATCGTTCCTACTTATACGAATGCACCTCACGATTCCATTTATCATAAAGTAAAACATAGATACAAAATTTCTTACTATCTTAATTCACTGATAACTACGATTATACAGATATGAAAATGAAGTAGTCGGCAAAAGAAATTTTCTTCGTTGAAATTTTAATTCCATGAAATAATATTTTCGGAGTTTTCGGAGTTCAACCTACGACCCATTGATTGAAGTTGAAAACATTTTGAGAAGCATACACAAAGTATTAAGATGTTTAGTCAAAATATGTGGATATGTTCTTTGTGTTTGTATACACAGTTGTGGATTACTGGTTTAAGCACTCAACTCTGAGTAAATATGTCCGCAGTTCATATCTTGTCTCACCTATTACACCTTGGGCAACTGAATAGTACAACAAGTCTTGATATATAAGTGTGCTTCCTTAGTCTAATATATATAACTACGTTGAGTTGAATTGAAACTTGAACTGCCTACCAGTAATGAACTCGAGTACCAAAGACAAAAGACTATGTAAGTAGGGAAAGTAGACAGCAGCAGAGCGAACAAGTTCAGAAAGAATAAATCTATAGTGAACTCTAAAAGCTATCACGAAAATGGATATTTTTGATAGACAGCTTTCATTACAATACTTCTAGATAACCACACTACTGAGCATAAAACTGAAAAAATTTTCAAATCAAGGAGAAATCTATGATTCATTCGGATCTGAAAAATTTCTTTGTATGTTTAGTTTGTGAAACCAATTACACTTCAATTGAACTAAAGTTCTGAGTAAGCAGGGCTAGCGGTGAATTCCACTAATTAACTCAATGAAAGAAGACCGAAACCTATGTGCCGAAAGTTCATCACATGCAATTAAAAAGAGCTTCAGTCAGCGAGATGAACATTACGTTCAGATTACACTAATGAGTCGAAGAAGTAAGCTGGGTTTAGATAAAACTGACACTTAACTCACTAACGTAGACCAGATAATATACACGAAGACTACGCATTTTATTTAAATAAATACCTGTTGGTAATGGTAAATTTTGTGGAGTTCCCCAGGAAGCAATTGGATCATCAGCTGTTGTTAACTGACTATCACCTTTAGGACTTAGATTAGGGTGAACATCTACATCTCTCGGTGAGTGGTCTTCAACTTCGATTGTAGTTACATCACGCACCATGAAATCATCGTTTGCCTGTTCAGAATACAATGAAGGTTCACGGTCGGACATATCATGAACATAGCCATTTGGTTTATGCACATCACCATTCATGTTATCTGCTTCACCATCAACGATATTATGATTGGTAACAACTGATTCTGCAGGCACCATGTCAGGGGTAGATAAGATTTCTGAGAAACGTGTGAAAAAAATTGTCTCATAAAAATACACAGAGTGATGCCAGATAAACAACATTATAAATTGACAGTTGCAAACAATAATCTAGCCTTTCAAAGATAAGTGCATATTCATCAAAGCTTAGAATCTACGAAGGGATATAAACTAATATATTTTACACTAGTTGTTCACCGTAACGTTATAGTGATTAAAACAAATTCAATCACTACAAACATGTTCGTATTGTATGCAATGAGTTACAGTTTCCTTGTGAAGGCCAGTGAAATAAGATAACACTTTAGTATAATTGTTTTTATATGATATCGTCGTTGATTGGACAGAATTGATGTCTCTAATGGCACACAGGCTCCTGTGCGGATGCCTCGATATTGTCAGTGTTCTAATTATGTTAATGATGGATTGTGGCTAGCAGTGGAATCCAGGATGGGCATTTCGTCCTATTTGGGACTTGTCAGATGGATGGGAATATCACTCACTGGGAAGCAGGTACATCCAGCTGACGAATTCCGTCCTGGATTCCACTGCTAGTCACGATCCATCATTAAGATAACACTTTCCCTGAAAAAACCCTAGTAAATAGAGCTGAGTTTGAATCCAGTAATAATAATAACAATCAGTATCAACATAGGACCAGGCATTACTGCATAAAGGTCCAACTTGCCACACCTCACATCAGTACATCGAGTAGAAAGGTAGTGAAGCGAAAGATGAAGATTAAAAAATTCAGTCAAAAGAAATACGAGAAGAAAGGAAGAATGAATGACAAAATGGTGAGAATCGGTATAGTGTTAAGATGTGGATAATATGTGTATACATCTGAGCCACTGACATCGGTTCTCAGCCATATCACCTAGTCTCCAAACCCTGGTTCCTCTTGTCCCGCGGACCCCAACCACCTAGTCTGCATCGCCCTACATGGCTCAAACCAACAGTTAGAGACTTCATACATTGGTGCCATGTTTTAGTCTGACCACCTCGGGCCTTTTTCCAGCCTGGACCCACCTCAGCCAACATTATGTGACGAGGCAGACGGCGATTAGGCATACGTAACACGTGTCCCAACCATCTCAGTCGATGAAGGTTGACAACCTCGTCAACTGACTTACCTCTTCTCCCCAAAACTCTACACCTAACTTCTGCATTACTCACATAGTGACACCACAGAATACGTCCTATACTACGAAGGCAACGGTGGTCAATAGCTTCAAGCCTTCTTATATCCTCCACTTTCAATGGCCATGTTTCACAGCCAGACAGTAGAACAGAGTGGACTGCTGTGCAGTACACGCCACCCTTAATAGACAAACGAATATCAAAGCGACGCCATGGGTGGCGCAAATTGGTAAAAGCCAATCGAACCTTTTGTATCCGTGCAGAAATCTCATCGGCAACTAACCCATCAAGGTTGATCCTACTTCCCAGGTAAGTGAAGTGGTCAACACACTCAACCACTTCACCCTATTGTTAGCCGCGGTGGGGTACCGTTGAAGACCAGTCCTGGAGCAAACATTTGCATTTAGATGGTCAGAAACGCATCCCAAACATTCTCATATTGTCACTCAAAGTGTTCAGAAGACTCTGCATCTCATCAGTCAGCGTCTTCACCTAACAGGACTATGTCATCTGCATATTCTAGATCTAAAGAAAATTCACCTGTGATTGGGTCAACGTCTGTGTAATTAGGTGACGAGAGGGAAACCTCCATAAGAATATCTATGATAACATTAAATAAGAATGGGGATAGTGGGCATCCTTGACGGACACCACTTGATGAGTATAGCTCCCTGGACAACTCACCATAGGCTCTAACATGCCCAAAAGTGTTCGAGTAGAGAGCTTTCAATAAGGTGATGTACTTACTAGGCACGTCTTTCAGTGACAGACATTGCCATAAGATTTCTCGATCAACGGAGTCAAATGCCACCTTCAGGTGGAGAAATACAGCTATTGTCGGGCGTCCGTAAGCGTGTCCATGTTCCAGGACCTGGCGCAGTGTGGATATTTGGTCGATACACCCGCGGCCCGTTCTAAAGCCTGCCTGGTTTTTTCGGAGTTGCTGTTCCCGAGCTCCAGTCAGGCGTCGGAGAATTATAGAATCTAGAATCTTAGACACTATGTTCGTCAGGCTGATTCCTCTGTGGTTATCACAAGAGGACTTCTCGCCTTTCTTGAAGACTGGGATAATCAGTGATTTAGACCAGTCAGAGGGGATCGTATTTAATTCCCATATACTGATTAACACTTCCGTTAACCTAAGATCACCTTACCACCATCCTTGTATACCTCTGGAGTTAGTCCGTCTGGTCCAGCCGCCCTTCCTCATTTCAGGTTACCTACAGCTTTCTAGACTTCTCCTAGTGTTAGGGGCCTATCTAAATGTTCCATTCAGGATCCTTAATATAGGTGTAAAACTTGGGCATTGTGGTAGGAATTAATTCCATATCAGATTTGTTTATTTGATTTATAACACATAGTGATCTAGTATTATTTGCTTCATGACGTCTCGAGTATAAATTATCATTGCTCATATTCATATCAATGTAATCACACCACTTTCGACATTTGATTCCTATAGTTACATCACTTTATATGAGTTGTTTTCATTGGTAGTAAAATCTTCCATATCTCTGGTATAGGTGTTGCGTCATTTCCTTTAAATGTGTTGAGTGTCGATTTGATGAACAAAGATTCAGTAATCAATCTCTCTCTCACTCTCCACCTAATCACAATGGACTTAAGTACTGTATAGGGGTTTCATCCCACCCTGTTGTGTGATTGTTTGTTAATGCATGCATAGCAATAGCCGAGCTACTTTCTAGATTATTGATCTTATTAGGGTCTTCAATTCTTTATTTCGCTAAACTCCTGTGTTCCGATAATCTGACCCCGATCGACTAGTTTGACCTATATACTTGACCTCATAGTCATGACATGGTATTTCATAGATAAGATTATTTTGCTTAATTGGTTCTATCGGATCCTTAGGCCAGTCGACAGAGTTTATCTCTGAGTGAGTTTGTAGGTTTAAATACCACCCTTATTCCAGCTCTGTTGAGGATTTTACGTAAAGCTTCTGGGGCACCCTCCTAATAGGGTAATAAAGTGGAGGCTGTGAATTCCTTTCCACTCGTGTTGTCGTTATTAGTCGCACTCGTGTGACTGCTATTTTTTCGTTTTTTGTGTGTTCGTAAGAATTTCTTAATAAACTGCGCAGGATAATTATTAACTATCAGCGCTTCTTTTACTTGCTTCAGTCCCTTGTTTAAGTCCTTGCACTGACTAGTCAGTTTTCTAGCTCTATCATTTAGACATTTGACTAAACCTGACTTAGTTGACTTTGAATGAGATGACTTGAAGTCTAGATGCCTGTTAGGATGTGTCGGTTCTCTGTAAACGGTAGTATCCAAACCACCATCTATCCTTCGTCTTATCGTGCAATCCAACATGGTTAATTCTCCTTGTTTATTTTCTACGTTGTAAGTGAATTGGATTGCGTCTACTACTGAGTTTTTATGTGTGAGGAAATTGTCGATATTTTCCAATTTCAACACAGTAAATGTGTCATCCACATATCACCATCATATCTTAGGTGCAATACTAAACGTTTGTAAAGCCATGTTTTCCCAACTGCCCATGAATATATCTGCTACGATTGGGGATATTGGCGATCCCATTGCCACTCCTCTTTGTTTGTATATTTTGCTCTGAAACTTGAATACTGTGGAGGTCAGGCATAATTGTGCACCTAATATAATCCCATCAATTGGTATCTTAGTTCTGTAAGTTCTGAGTCAATATTTAGTTGACTTCTGACTGTCTCCATTGCCGTATTGATTGGTATTTTAGGATACAGACTAGTTACGTCGAAGATAACCATTTTTTCATCCTCTTCTATGTGTACGTCATTAAGCCTAAGTTTTAACTTGTAAGAGTTTACTAGTCTGGTATTTGAACGGTTCCTATTAGGGCATAGTATCGAAGCTAAGTACTTTGCTAGTTCATTAGTTGGGGTATTTCTGAAGTCAACTATGAGTCTAATGGGATAACCTGGTTTATGCACCTTAATAGTGCCATAAATTCTGCTAGGATTATTAGTTTTGGGCATTAAATTAAACCGTTTAGACTTACCTAGAGATGGTTTTAGTCGGCGTATCAGATCGGCTGTAGATTTCCTGATTTCATTCAGGATCCGACTGGTGGCTGGAGGCCAGTCAAACTGTCCCTCGAAGTGTTCTGCCCGTCGTTCCAGTCGTCTGCCCTGCGAGTGAATCGCAGATCCGTCCTTCTCCGCTATAGCCTCACTAACTGTTGTTGACCATTTCCCCCCAGTCTCCTTAATAAGTCTAAATAACTGTCTACTATTACCGATCGCCGCTGCCTTTTCCATCTCTTTAGCCTTCGCTGCCCACCACTGTTGGCGATCGTTGCGTAGACTTTTTGTCAATCTACTTTTAAGTTGCACTCGCTCTTCAATGTACTCAGAACTTGCAGGGATGCATTCACGTGCATCCATTAGTTCGGAAGAAGCTGCTGATATCCACTGGCTCCTTTTAGTCACTATTTTGGAGTCGGCTACGGCCTTCAACGCTGCTTTTACAGCAGGCTGGAGATGGCACCAAGCTTCTTCTGGATGAGTGACAGTATTTTGTTACGATAACTGTCTAGCCAACTTCTCACTGAACACGGCTTTGATGTTTCCGTTGTCCAGCAGCACTCGTAGTGGTTCTGTCGCCAAATTTTTCTTACGTCCATTGAGACGCAGGCATATACGCACTTGGACCAACGCGTGGTTGCTATCCAAGCATGTACTCCAGAAGGAGCGGCAGTCTTCCACCGATCCTCTCCAGTGATAACTAATAGCAATGTGGTCTACCTGTGTCCATCATTGAGTTGAGCTTGGTGGACGTCATGTCAGACAGTGCCTTTCTTTATGTCCGAAATTTGTGCTAGCTAAAAATAGGCGGTTGTAGTAGGCGATCACAGTTATCTGTTCGTTCAGCCGGGACTCCGAAAGTGCCACCTAAGTGCCTTTCTGCCTCACTCAGTCTACCCACCTGTGCACTGAAGTCACCTGCAACAACCACCATGTCCGAACGTTTGGCTTTCGAGAGGAGGTTAGACAGTTTACGGTAGAACTCGTCCTTCACTTCATCCGAACTGCAGTCAGTGGGTGCGTAAGCAGAGATTACAAAGAGACAACGGCGGGTCTCACTATTCCTTTTGGTTCTCACTGTGCCGTTTAGTCTCATAGCACAGAGGCGACTATCAACTAGGATCCAGTCTAGTAGTGAGTTTTCTGCCCTAATGCTTAATGCTATGCCTACACCTGCAAGACTGCTAGAGCCAGCTATCGAATCTCTAGTAACTCGAAGGGTGAATTTTGTGGATTCACCAGATTGGTCAGGAGAGGTCAGGTGAATAACCACACTTGGGTCCTGTATGTGTGTCTCACAAACACAGTACACATCCATGCCCGAGTTGCTAGAGTCTTTGCCAACGAAGTCTGTTGACTAATTTGACGGAGGGTGCGGACATTGAAGGCTCCAATATGTAATTTGGAGCGTGGTTTAAGGAGACCAGTGATGCTGTCCTGTGGACTCAGATCGTTGTCGAAGGCTACAGAGCTAGGAGAAATTGAAGATGATGCAGCATCGTTAATTGAGAGACGTGAAGGAAGATTAGAAGGTAATGATGGGGGAGATGGATAGCAGTCTGAGGAAACTTGAGTGCTGTTCAAGTTGTGAGGACGATTGATACTTCCCGGCTATCCACACCGTGGAAGGCTATATCTTCTTAAAGTACCTGGAAGAGATTTGTGTGTCCACAGAGTCCATCGGACATCTGCTTGAGGCCTATCACGCCCAACCTTTAAGGTATGATTATTTTGAACTTTTGTATTTTCGGGGCCGGATGGTCGAAAGGAAACGACAAGTGAACCAACACCGCCGGCCCAGCAGACCGTGGGGCATGGTGGAGTGTGTTTTTCTGGGCCGACCTTTTCTAACCCCGCCTTCCACTGAGAAGGCAGCATCAGCATGGCACTGCTGGTCATCCAAGGGAAACACCTTACTGCTGTCACACCCCATCCAGCTAGCAGCAGTACGACTTCGCCCTCAGACCCCCATCATAGTGTAGCAATTTACATTATAACGGTAACTGCTTTTTGTCTAACCACTATCCAACAGACCTTTCTGGTAAGGTAGGACCTCGAGGGAACAAGCGTTCCACCAGCATAGCTCGTTGGGTCATTGTGATATGCGAGCCCGACCACCACGTCAAGGTAGCAGCTAATAATAATAATAATAATAATAATAATAATAATAATAATAATAATAATAATAATAATAATAATAAAGCCGAAAGTTAAACACGCACAGTAATACGGCTTAGCAACAAAAACGAATGTTTAATTACACAGTAGAGTTTGTGGAGAATTCTTTACAGTAGCATAGCCATAATCAGGAATGATTATGTTGCGAGAAAATTTGAAATCAACTGAAGCATGATCGTCACACTTGGTACACATACATGTTTATGACTTACGCTTTATAAGGTGTACATAAAGCTTTACATGTGACTACTGTGTTGTACTTATTCACACTTGTGTACGCACATACAAGAAAACCCACTACGAACAGGTAGAGAGTGTATATTATGTACATACACAATCATAATTGACTGGTTAAAATGGGGAGTGTTCATAATGAACACATTTCTCATTATTCACTACATGACATGATATCCCAATGCGTTAGCAAGCAATATTGTGAAAAGAAAGACAGAAAAAAACAAGAAAAACATTTTATACTAAGATAAGATCAATGAAAATAGGGCGTTGATTGTATACTCAACGAAAATTCCAGACAGTCTAGCTGGTTTATTTTTTACCCCTCAAGTATGTAGGGCGAGAAGGAATCATAAAGGTGCACATTTTACAAATTGTAGATGGTAAGCAATGAGTAACGCAAACCAACTACCTCCCCTGTAAAGAACTTGAATGACTAAAGAAGCAATTACGAAATAAACCCGAACTCCTATATACAAAATTCTGTGAATCGGCACACATGCTGATGACTATCATTGAAAAGTCTGTGATAAACAACTCTAGGTTACAAGATATCTTCATCCAAACATCTCTAAATTTCTAGTCAATTCACTGGTCACCAGAATGTTGGTTTTATTTGATAACTAACAATTCTGTGTACCGTCTTGGTAGCCAAAGAACATTTCCTTGTATTAAAAATAACCTAGAAGACATTCCGTCGAAAAAAACCTACCGTTATCACAAGTCTCTGATTGTTTTGAGGATAATTCTTCCGAGTTTGCTTCTACAGCATCTGCGCTTTCGGTTACTTGGTTCACTTTGACAGAATTTTTAGCCAAAGAAGATGTTTTATTTGCAGCAATACCTTTTGATGATGATGGTGGTCGATGTGATACACCATCTTGTAGTGTTTTCTTTGGTACATAAGACAACCGAGTAGCATTATGGTGGTTTTGTCCAACAGAACTTAGACTACTTTCGTTACTAGTAGCCGTTGTGTGTGCTGCTGCTGTAGGACGACGTGAAACTGTAACAGAAGTGCAAATAAAAAAAGTTAAAAAATTTCTTGAAAATTTAAAAACGAACTGTAAAGCAATTATTCAGAGAGTAAATTACCAGCGCTCAAAGGTTGTACTGGTCGTTTTCGTTCATATTCTGCAGGCACAGCCTTGGTGTGACGAAGGTAGATAAAACCAGTTATTAAAGCATCCAGACTTGATAAAATACGCGTTTGGTGGGCATTCGGTGATACAAAAAGAAATCTAAGTATAGGTTCGTTGTCTTTGGCTGGTCTCCAGATGACTAACGCTGACACACTTGTGTAGGAAAGCTAAGAAAAATACAAAATACACTGTGATTAGTAAAGGGACACTACGATAAGAAAGAAATGATAAGAGAAACAGTGATAAAAATAGCTCAGCATAGATATCTTGAGAAGAGGAACACAAACTAATAATCATGCTTTCTGCGATACATCTGTTGCATATGTGTGTGTGACAAAGAGGTCTGGTGACACCGTCTAGTTAATTAGACTGAAGCCAGCAGAATGAAAGTAGAAATAAAAAAAATCTGTATAAACATAGATCCTCAACTGATAACCGATGAGATATGAGTTGAACATATGATTTGCTGAAAAAAATTCAGTAAATTTACACCGCAGAATGAAAATGACCACTGCAATGAAAATCGATACATCAGAGACCTCAGAATTAACATGATTCAAGAAGCTATACAAGAACAAGCATACGTTAAATCACCGAAATCTCAAGTGAAACAGTCACTTAGCCATGTGAATTAGGAGGGATTAATCGTACTCACTAATAATTAACTACTTAATACCAAAACAATGATTTTACAATTAGCTGATCTTCAAGATGATGGAAAACATGTCACTGAGCCAAATTTTTCCAGTAGAGTTTACATGAAGTCACAGAAACAAGATAACACTGTATTAGTGCCTTAATTATTCTCTGACCTATTATTGAACTGTATGTTGATACACTGAGTATTTTGATTTAGGCAGTTTTGCACAGCCATTTACTTTTATAAAAAAGATGTGAGTAGCAAATTTTCATATCTAGTGTCGTTTCCATTTATTGAGACACATTTCTATATGTGTGAACACAGAGTATAAGACTTTTTTGATATCGAAATAAAATTAGAGATGAGAACAGTACTATGTGTTTACAAGTAATCTCCAAAGAATGCGCTAAAAAGGGTATGCACACCAAATAAGGTGATAGTACAATTAATTAGCCCAGATACACTGAATAGCTTTTAAAAGCCGTGAGACAATAACATGAATTGAGAGATACAGTTTGAAATAAGTAAAAACATTAGATGTTGGACTCGGTTGTGTAGATAGATCTTTAACAATTTCGTATTTTCATCAACTCATTATACGCATCAAATACTACAATATTAACGTAGATCAGCCTTGTAAAGATGTGTGCACAAGGTTATGAGCTAGACTAAATAAAATATACGAAGGCTTATGAAATTGCACAGTTGCACATAAGTATGTAGAGCAGGTTTTGAAACCGGAGTTTGAAAGTCGAATCATTGAGCTACATCTCCAAGAAAAGAAGAAATAATATCCTGAGTAGCAGATAGAAATAAATTTATTGGCATACTTCTGCATTTCATAAGTTAACCATTCAGGAAAATGAACTATATTACGCAGCTACAAAAGTACACACATCACGAAGAAGACAGATTAGGATGAAATAATCATGAATAAATAATCACCGGAATAAAAAACCATTTCCTCTGATTTGTTTTCGCAACAAAAAAAATGAAATGAATACTTCATATTTTATCTGTTTCTCAGAGAATATGACAACTTTTCGTTAATTACCATCTAAGTCAGGGGGAAAAACTGCACATCAATACGACTATTCAGCAGGTATGTTTAGCTTTTTGAGTACTAGGCTGAGAATTACTTTTGCTACGTTTATGTTACCTTAGACACAGTTTGTTACAAAATGCTGAGTAATGATCATTTAATTAAGAATAACAAGTCCTGGCACAAAAGAATTTGAGTGATGTAGCCAACTAGACCGGTGACCTCGTCTACCGTAATCATATCCGTTAAAATGCTTGTTTTTCAAGGTTCTATACAGAAAGGAAGGTAGATTTGAGAATGATGAGACTAATAGCTGAAGGCGAAGTGGAACTGCTGACCATATCAGGATTTAGCAGCAGTAAACTGTTTCTCAAGGATTAGGAAGCAATACTAGTGGTGCTGCTTATTCGTGGATAGACGGTGTCTAGGTTCCACATTTGCCAATAACACTCATTTACTTCAATTTTACGATATACTTCGACTATTTGATTAGCTGGGAAGTGCCAACTCGTCACATATCTTCAGCATCACTTAGATCACTTTTGGATAGAAAATTTCATGACTTGCCGGCTTTTGATAACATCAACGTTTACATTTATAATCGTCGAATAGAGTTCCCGCAAATGCTTGCGTGTAAAAGTAGAACTCAAAGAGACATATCCATAATTCAATTCTTATACTTTATTCACAATTTATAATATAAATAATGCTTACTAGTGAGACGGTGGTTTTACTTCCTAGAGTTCGGTTCAAGGGGACAGCAGTTGTTGTCAACGTCGTAGAAGCTTTAGACCAATCATCACTCAACTTGCGCAATTCAGCTGAATCCTCATCCCCAGGAGTTAAAGGGAATAGCTCCAAGCATCCTTGACCCACCTATACAGAAATACATCGGGTATAAAGAACGTTATTGAGAAATAATTGAAAAAGCTGGAGAATCAATTCGACCGGATAAACGGGTACACATCCATAAAGTTTGTTTTGAAACATGTCTATAAAAACTGGAGGTTATACAAAACGATTATCAAAACGAAATAACTGTCAGCTTAACTAATGAAAAAGCATTACTTTGCCAACGTCCTTACTGATCAATAAGACAGACTATGAGTTTCAATGAGGTCACAAGACTGTTACTTCTACGAAGCATCTCATATATTTATTTGGTTACCATTAACGTAGTTGTTCTACTTTCTCCTACAAACAACTTGAGTGAAGACTGGTTGGCTGGCTGGTTACATTGTGGTTGGAGTGGTATAACCATTATTACTTATTATTTGTCCATTACGTTCCTAATGGAACATACGACTTCAGTAGCACGTCTCCATTTCACTCTCTTCTCTGCAGTCTTTTCAACCTTACTCCACAACTGCCCAGAAGCTTTCATTTCTTCCCCACATGATCTCCTCCATATCACCTTCGGACGCCCAACTCGTCGTTTCCCCCTTGGGTTTCACTCGAGGGTCTGGCCCGGTGCGTGATGTCCCCAAATGATCTCAGTCTATATCCAGTCCAGTCCATCTCCACTTTCTTCTGCATATTTGTTGGGCGATGGGTCCTTGGTTGGTTCTCTGCCAGAGTTCCTTGTTGCTTATTCTCATTATTCTGGCCATCTGATCTTCAGTGTTAATATCGAGCGTAGGCCACAGCTGTTGATGTATGTCTATAGTTCGTTGGAAATGCTTTATGTGGCACGCCAAGTCTCTGGACCATATAGAAAGCACTGACTTGACTGAATTAGTGTTGAAAATCCAGATCTTGTTAACGCTTTATGCTGAGTGCAGTGCAGTAGATCTCCACACTGATTTCAGGTGAATGAAGTGGTGTCTTGCTGTCTTTCCGATCCTGACTTTGACATCTTCATCTATACCGCCTGTAGTTGAAACGATGCTGCCAACGTAGGTGAAAGAGACAACTTCCTTCAGGTTTCTGTCGTTGATGATCATTGGTACTTGTTGTTGGTGGTGTTGGAGTGGTATAAAATAGGTTTCAATACAATAATGTACAACCATTCTCCATTTAACTTTGCATGAAAAAACTTGGCATCTTATTCTAGGCCTATATATTCGCTGATTACCCAACACTTTCCTGTCCAGACCTTTGGGTAGTAATAATAATAATAACAACGACAATAAGATATGCTGACATCAGGGTTGTTTTTGATTGCAGAACACAAGGAAAACGCAAGGCAGATGGGATTTGGTACACTTTCACAGAGGTTAGTTTATTTTTTCTTAACTTTTTATACATTCATTTACTGTGAACACAAAAGATAATAACATGGCTTAAAAAGCGATTGTACAATAGCATATCTTTCCGAATTACCTAACTGTACACCGAGAAAACAACAACAGATTTACTTTATGATTGAGTGCATGCATAACAACGTATTTGTAGTAAGCAACGTAAATGGTAACCTAGCCTATGTAACTAGTTCACTAGTCACTAGCCGGTCCAAAACCCGGATAAAGAGGGAAGGTTGGGCATAGGGCTAGCAACCCCGTACCGAACAACAAATCCAATCAATAAAGAAACTTTACAGCACAAAGAAAATATAGAACATAAAATTAAACCTGTTCCTCGCTGGAATCGGGGAGACGAATGACGCCAGTTGGTCAAAGCCTTCGTAAAGCCAATTGGCCGATGTGTCTTCGCCTATCTCGATGAAAGCAAATGTCGGAATGTGGACATGGGATGCTCGAACAAGCTGGCTGGCAAGGCTGCCCAGATTGCAAAAGAGATGAGAAGGTATGGCATAGAAGTGCCAGGCTGGGAATCTGCATATGGAATGGAAGTGGACACTCCAAACTGTCAACTGGTGAGTCGATCGTCTGCTGCAAAATTGCCACTCAGACGACAACCACGAGCATAGCACACTGAGCTTTCGAGTGGCTATCATGATGTCCGCAACAGCATCGAAGGCTCTCATGCAGTTGGAACCAATCTCCTCCAGCATCAGGAGCATGACAGCAAGATTCAACTCAAAAGGAAGCAAAGTCACAATCATACAATGCCAATGCTACGCTACGCACCTGAAAATAATGCAGATCAAGAGAAGGAGGAATTCTATAGACAACTGTAGTCGGTAATGGACAATACCCCACTCCAGTTGGCGACATCAAAATGCATTCTGATGGGTGACATGAGTACCAAACTGGGAGCGGACAACACAGGAAAAGAACTCATCATGGGTTAAGATACACTCGGTGAAATGAACGGGAATGGAGAACTGCTTGCAGATTTCTGCGTATTTCATGACTTGGTGATTAGAGGTAGTGTGTACAAACACCAGGATATTCACAAAGCGAAATGGATTTGATTTCACCAGATGGACACACTAAAAGTCAGATCGACTTCACCTCAATCTCAAGAAAGTGGAGACGCAGCCTACTAAATACAGGATGAAGAAGGGGAGCAGATGTAGGTTCACACCACTCACTGTCTAGTGCAAAGGACCTACCTTCCAAATCAAGTTGAAAGCCCTCAATTCAAAGAAGTTGGTGATAGACAACCACAGTTCAAGTTCAACACCGAGAACAGAAACTCCACTGAAGGACGAAACTACAAAGGACATCTTCACGTCAGCCAGTCGTCAAGAAAAACTGGGAGACATTAAGCAACATCCCTGAAGAAACGTGTGTGGAAGAACACTGGAACCCTTTGAAAGAGATGTGGAAAGAAACCTGCATAACCGCATTAGTAAGGAAGAAACAAGACAAGGAATGGATCTCGACGTACACATGGAAGCTGATAGAGGAGGGGGACGAAGATGAACCAGGGCAGGATGAACAACGAAAGCGGAACTGAATACAATCTATAAAACACTACACTGAACAAAGAAGTGATGAAGAGTGCACGGAAAGACAAAAGGCACTTCTACGACACACTTGCAAGTGAAGCAGAACAGGCTGCTGGTAGGAGAGACAGAGACCTGACAACACTAAATCAAATAACCAAAATACTATCTGGAAAGAGATCAACGCAGAAGAGACCAATGAAAGATAGTGAAGGAAACCTGGTTACCAAACAGAAAGCAAAGGAAACCATAAGCCGACGACATTAAAAGATTCTTGGATCGACCACCACCTGCAACTCGTCCAGAAATACCACAAGCAGCTCTCCGACAAAAGAAGAAGTCCTGAACGCCATAAGTTCCTAAAAGCCGGAAAAGCAGCATGACCAGACGAAATTCGTCCAGAAGCACTAAAAAGAGACGAAGAGACATCAGTAGATATACTCACACCACTTATGCGAAAAGTTTAAAAGGGAGGAAGGAAAGGTACCTGGTGGTTGGAAGAAGGGAGACCTAGGTCTTTGCGAGAACTGGAGAGGAATCATGCTCCGGTCCCTGTCCGCCCCAAGTAAAATATTAAGCCACATCATCCTGGAGACTAAAAGATGCGCTAGATTCAAAATTACGATCGGAACAGGTTAGTTGGCTTCAAGAAAAACAATTTATGTGCGGATCAAATTGCAACGCTACACTACGCATGATCATTGAACAGAGTATAGAATGGCAGTCAACTCTCTACCTCAACTTCATCGATTTTGAAAAGACCTTTGACAGCGTCGACCGAGAAGTAACTTGGATACTGCTACAAAATTACGGTTTTAGCGCCACAAAACTATATCAACCTCATTCAACAACTATATGAAGACGCCATATGTCGAGTGATTCACAATGAAATGTTCGGGATGCCTTCAAACAAAGGACAGGGGTAAGACAAGGCTGCCGCCTACTATCACCCATGTTCTTCCTGATTGTGGTCGACTGGATCATGCAGCGAACCATGGGGAGCGAGAAGAGGGCATACGCTGACTGCATTGATGAAAAGACCCTAGAAGACTTGGACTTCGCCGCCGATGATGACTTACGCCTAATGTCACACAAACTTGAAGATCTACAGACAAAAACTAACAAGCTGGTAGAAGAGGGGAAGCAGCAAAGACGGGACTTTAAGTGGAACGTAGGGAAGGTAGAGGTGATGAAGATACCCAACCAATAACAACGACAACAAGCACCAATCATCATCAACGGCAGAAACCTAAAGGAAGTTGTCTCTTTCACCTACGTTGGCAGCATCGTTTCAACTACAGGCGGTATAGATGAAGATGTCAAAGTCAGGATCGGAAAGACAGCAAGACACCACTTCATTCACCTGAAATCAGTGTGGAGATCTACTGCACTGCACTCAGCATAAAGCGTTAACAAGATCTGGATTTTCAACACTAATTCAGTCAAGTCAGTGCTTTCTATATGGTCCAGAGACTTGGCGTGCCACATAAAGCATTTCCAACGAACTATAGACATACATCAACAGCTGTGGCCTACGCTCGATATTAACACTGAAGATCAGATGGCCAGAATAATGAGAATAAGCAACAAGGAACTCTGGCAGAGAACCAACCAAGGACCCATCGCCCAACAAATATGCAGAAGAAAGTGGAGATGGACTGGACTGGATATAGACTGAGATCATTTGGGGACATCACGCACCGGGCCAGACCCTCGAGTGAAACCCAAGGGGGAAACGACGAGTTGGGCGTCCGAAGGTGATATGGAGGAGATCATGTGGGGAAGAAATGAAAGCTTCTGGGCAGTTGTGGAGTAAGGTTGAAAAGACTGCAGAGAAGAGAGTGAAATGGAGACGTGCTACTGAAGTCGTATGTTCCATTAGGAACCTAAGGGGAAATAGCAATAAGGCAAATGGTTTGGAAAACTAACCTTCTGAAAGAGTTGCACTGGTTTAGGAACCACTGACTGTTTACCACCACGAGTTAGTGGATATACGACCAGATTGGTACCTGAACTTTTTAACTGACCAACTAATTCAGAGATATGTATTGGTATATTAACTGGAAACTGAGGTTGATCTTGAACAGTATTATTCACCTTCGTATGGTTAACATTTGGTGGAGGAGTAAGGAGACATAGTGGAGATTGTTTAGTATTTGGTGTAAAAACAGCTGGAAGAATTGCACTAAGACCAAGTATATTATCAATACCCCAGTGTGTTACAAGAACAGAATCCAAGCTGGAAAAAAGGTTAATAATTTTAAATCTTTTATATATAAGACACAAAATGACGAGAAACGATAATGACAGGTGATTTTTTTTTACCTTACTTAATTTAGTTCAGAATGTGTACCCAAGAAATATAAAGATTCAACAACATGACGGTAATTAACATCAGCTCCTGGATTTTCTTGGACATCGAATATTGGTGAACTTGAAAATGGCTTCACTGGTAGTAAATAAAATAATACGCTCAGCAATCTTGTGTGTATTAGTGCAGTGGACGAGTTACATCTGTTGTGTGAGGGCTAATGATACTACCGCAATAAATTGTGCTCCGAACACATGTTACTCGGATTCACAATCTCCTTAACTAACCCTCTTTGCCTACGATGACACAGAGCACTAGGCGGGAAACTCGGTGGTTGCTGGTCTGAATCCTGCCACGGTCCAAATTTTTATTTCACCTTTAATCATCACTCAGTATCCACATAGAAATCGTTTAGACAGCTCTTCGGCCAGAACCCAACGATTTTCTATGGGGGGGGGGGGTACTTGTATTTACAAAATCTTCAAATCTGCCTTTAGTGACATCTCACTACAGTGTAATTAGATAGAACGAGCAAGTATATTGTATGCCTAACCCCCCCCCCTTGGACTTCAGAAATAACGAAAATCAAACGACCTTCCTGTAACTGAGCTGGGGTTGATAAAATTTGAGATATGTAAATCGGTTGAAAGAGTCAATCGTATCATTTTTCTTATCATTTTCTAGTCAACGGGAAAAAGATACTTGCACGTTCAGATTCCTGTTACTTCTAAAATATTCACATTTAGAGATAGAACTCAATTGCGAACTGATAAGAAACAGATATTCCGATGACTGAAATCAGATTAGATGCAATCAGTGTAAAACAATTTCCTTATGAAGAGTAATTTATCACTTGTTTTGTTGACTCTCTACACTATTAAACGTTTCATTTAATCACTTGAATGAATGTAAAGGTTCACAGCTTAACAGAAAATCAGAACACTAGTCTCATTTCCCGCTTCTTACACTTCTACATACATACACAAGAAGAGGGGGATGAAGGGACCTCCTACTCTGGACATATATTAATTATCGAGTTGGGAAATTATATTAACGGTAGAGGAATAAACTGTATTAATGATAAGTGAAGACAATCACTAAAGTGGATTACTGTTAATTAGCTTCTACTAACAGAGTAACACATTTATATCGAGAAAAGGACATTACAAAGAAAATTAAAGTACAGAATATTAAGCATAACTACTAAATTTTACACAAGCAACACATCGCTGGAATTAACCAGTTGATCTGTGAAATTAACATTCAATGAAAGCAAGAAAAACCATAATAAATACATGGTCCGTGCAAAAAGTGTAGAAAATGTATCTTTTTGAAAATGAACCAAGTGTGTTACACCCGAGGATCAGAGATTAGTAAAGTTAAATTTCAATAACAAAGAAAATATTAGCAAGTAAAAAAATTGTGAAATAACACATAACTGAAACCGTATACTACTATTCTTTTATTAAGAAAGAGAATACATGTTTAGCAAAAGTGAATTGGAAATTCCGAACGCTTGAAAAATCTACTCACGATCATGACTGCAAAACTAATAATGTAGACTATAGGTTAAAACTAAATAGCCCTAATATAGGTAAGGTGTGGTTGTTAACTGAAGTACATTTATAAAGGATAAATTCACATGCATACTAATTGGTCAGGGTTACGCCCATTTTCAACTTATAAGTGAAAAGTAATCAGTTCACGCAATTTACAAAGGAATAGGAACTATCTACTTCCTACTAAATTTAAATCTTACCGATCGACATAATTAGCAACGTGCCAAAAACAAGGCCTGTAACTACATCCTGCATTAATTAACATGTTATAACCAGGTAAGACTAGGATAGACGCTTGTCCAGAACCTTCAGGGAATAAGTAAATGCAAGGTTTGGAAACTTTAAGCGTAGGATCAGCTGGAGAACGTAATGCTAACGCTTGACTCAGGGGTAAACAATAGGGATCAGGCAATTTGGTCATTACACTGCATAGAAAACTTTCGAAATCTATAAATAGGAAACAAAAAACAAAAAAGAGACAGGCTAACGATCAGCAAGAAATACTCATGGTAATACAGTAAACTAAAACCTTTTGAAATAACATAAGGCTGACAGGTTCTTTGACTAAACTGACCATAAATTCACACGAAGATAACCTGATTTTACAATCAAACGAACTCTAGTGGCCATAATCGACGAGATGTTAGTCACATGAGCATAGATGGAATGATGCATGAAGAGGTAATCAATAATCATTCCAGTTCTTTTTGCTTGCCATCATTTCTGTCAACATTCATTTTTTAATTGTATAGCTGCCTAGAATGCAAAAATATCCTCATAATCTAGTAATGCTTGTTTATGATGGACGACCAATTATACTCCCTAGGAGTACTTGGCGGCTGACGTCAAGATCCCAAAACAATAACCTAATACGTCAGTTGTGAAATTTAGTACTACGATAAAACTCCAACAATATCTTAATTAGAAGGTTTAGGAGTCTTACAAACCGAAAGATTTCAGTCATATGTTGTACTCAATCCTAGTATTAGAGACAGCTAATTACATTCAACTTGTAAGCGGTGTGGTACGACTGATTCAGTTTCACATGTACTGAAAGTTTATTGCTATTTCGTCTTGAAAAAGAAATTGAAACTTTGAAAGCACATTCCAGGCTTTGAAAATGGATATCATTGAAAAAACTCTACTTAACCGTATTGCCAAGAAAGTTGTACTGCTTAGAGAAAACTCTTCCGATATTCTCAGACGACAACAAGAACTCAAGGTTACAACTTTTAGGAGTTAGGTGGTCGACAAGAGATATTTAAATGTTGAGCACTGCGTCACACGAAAATTTACTGCAAATGGGTTTCAAACACCACCCCCTTTCCCCGAAGGAATGCAGATGTTGGCGAGTTTACAAACTGCTTAGACGGCGTTCATTTCAAAATCCTTCTAGGTTTCTTCTTTTCACCATATATATATATATATATATATATATATATATATATATATATATATATATATATATATATATATATATATATATATATATATAGCGTCACTGTGCTGTCACACAACCTCATTTCCGCCTGCGCTGTAAAAATTAGCCGTTCGTGCCGCTACAAATTACCACAGCCACTAATAAACACGTAGGAAAACAAAGGTTTCCATCAGTTCAACTTATCAGATGACACCACGAAAACTTGGAAAAGAGAAACACGAACTAACCGAATGGATTAGTAGGTGGTGAAGCAGTATCGGTAGGCTCACGACCTTTGGGCTTTGTTATTGTACGACAGCGATTGACTGACACCTGGAACGCATGTCCTCCAATGGATTGTGGTGGACTGCTAACCAGCTGACGCCAGTCTCCACCAGATGCAACCCCTCCAATACCAATGTGAAGACGAATGGGTTTTGGAGGTGGTTGATTTTCTGCGTCATCCTGAAACACGGGTGAACGATTAGTTAATATCATTGACAGTAAAATATGCTAATAGTAATCAAAAACCAGTGGATTTTAAGGCGTAAACAAGTCACGAAGTGTAAGAAAAAATGGCTTAGTTATCAACAACCGGAAGATTTATATCAACTAAGTGGATTTCGTTTAACCAGAGAATCACGTACGACTATTGGTTTGAACATTTTAATCCGTGGTTTCAGACAAAGAAGCTCTAGAAAACACGGTTTCTTCCCGTTATTAGAGGTAATGAGGTAGACATAAAAAACAACCCAGGAAAATGCACAGGGATACATCATTTTCAGCCGCTACATATTCCATTGTTATACAAAGATGAAAAGGAGTGATGTTAAAAAGGTCAATCAAAATGCTGATGAAAAAGAGTGAACCAGCTGATATTACCATGGGATTTGCTACCACTACATAACCGTTTACGGTGTCATACCTAGGACCAATATATATATATATATATATATATATATATATATATATATATATATATATATATATATATATATATACATGCTAACCCAGCTCTATACGAAATCGATTACAGGTTTAAAAACGGCCTCTGCTGCTGAGACGCTGGATAGCGAGTACCGGAAGGAAGATGACTTTTCTAATTACAGATACATATAGCTGATGGGCACCAGCAGGTACAACGCGTAGTTAGTGCCGTACCTTTCGATTGGTCGACTTTTACCATACACAACAATTTTGATTGCCAAGGCTGGAGATAAAGCTTATTAAGATTTAGACTCATAAAATTGCAGTTTAGCAAATCAAAGAACTGTTGACAGAATTCCGGATTCACATCACACAAAAGTTAGTGTGGAAGAATTTAAACAGGTTCCCAACTGATTTTAGAATCACTACCAACTGCAAATAAATCATCATATTCAAATGTTTCCGACTTTTCTCTTATCTAGATTAACTAACCGATGAACGATATTAAAAAATACACTACAATGCTATCAAAGTCATGATTTAATTTTAGAGTTTTTTAATATTATATGAAGCCTCAAAATAGGTGGACTTTCTGATCATGCATCCCCTTTTGTTGGCTTTGTGTGTGTCATTTAATTATGGGTTAGATTCTCTGTACTCCTACGCAATATGACTGTTAATCTCGTTAGCAACTTTTCCTTTCCCTACTTCCACTGTGCCTGACAAAAGATGTTGGAACTTGGACTGATTCACAGATAAGTTAGGTCTAATGTGGCTGATATTTGTTTGCTCTTAACCGACAAAACCAAAGATACTAGTTGCTCACTTATGCTACTCAGTAACCATGTACCGCAAAGAATAACTTGACCGAATGTCTCCAGAACCCGTATAGTCAAAGAGCAACCAACCTGAATGAAATCATTCACTAAACATGTGCGACTTCAATATGCAAATATGAATCAGACGCCAATAGTAACTTACTGACTTGGGATAGAGAGTTGACAAATGATGAATGAAGTCGGCCAAAAATGTGGGTGTTATTACAAAATTGGGCAACAGCCAATGAGCTGATCCATCCGACAGTAAACCAGCATAAATCAGAATAACACTTAGACTGACATCAGACTTCTTCGGTGGGAGTAGAAAACTTGTCAACAATGATGTGATTGTAGATGTTGACGGACGACATAAGACTAGGAATTCAAAATCTTCACTCTGATGACAGAAAATACCTGAAACATTCAAAGAAGTGAGAAAATATAGCATCAGATAAACGAAAGCTGGTTTTCTGATAATCAATAGTCTATTATTTGAGCTACAAAGACATGACTCCCATAATCAAAAATGTCTCGCAATTTTAAGTCATTAGTTTACATTACCATCCTGGAAAAAAAACAAAAGTCAAACAGCTGCATAAAAAGTAGAGTCACTTACATTCCAGTGAACACTGCTGATTGTTTCCCAGCCCATCCAAATGCGATTGAAACTTTGTAAGCAAATCTGGTGGGCAGCTAGCCAAACCTAGAGAAGACAAATAAGACAGGATTTAACAGAGACTGTAACGAAATCCATCAGCTTAATACCGCGATAAATCGTAATACCAAGGGACTGCGCATTGAAGAATATAATCTCAAAAAATGTCATTGAAAGTGGATCAATTTTGAGTGATTATGGAGGCAGAGACATCTGCTTGAGGTTGATCAGACAGTACTTAAAGAGCCTCAACATTATCGGCTAAAAGTTGTACAGAAAATAAGGCGGAATGCGCAAGTAACATGAGAGGTTTTTCTAATTCCTCTTTTCCAAAGTAAGAAGGCAGAATAGCTGAAATACTGACCACATAAATCAGTCACCCTGTTATCACCACACCCGCGTCCAGAGAGTAGTGTTTCTGTTGATACTCAGTCACAACGCAAAGCAGTTACTCTGTAACCGTTACGACCCTTCTGGAATTAGCTGACAATTGTTTCATTATAGTTTTATTGGATTATTAAGATAAACCTAATGATCACGTCAAAATAGCAATTGTTGACGGTGAATTGACCATAAAGTACAGTCGGTACAACACAAGTTGGTTTGTAATTGAGTTATCATTACAATGAAGATATCGAAGAAAAATGTGCTGAGGAACTGTCACCGAACAAAGAACGAAGTATTACAGTATACCGCTTCCATTAGGCATACTTTTTATCATTCCAGGAACAGAAAATCAAAAAGCCAAGATTTTTTTTTCGTCTTTTGTTTCCAGGACCTATAAAGAGTTCAACGGATAAGGAACAATAAAGAGAATGTGTTCAAAATTTAGGGGGAAGTTAGGAGTATGCGAAATCTTCTTGTACCTCCCAACGTTGTAAACCATCTCACGACTCTAAATCAAAACAGGGTGCACAGCTAAGGAGAAAACCAGATCTTCGATAAGTAGATTACCGATTTTTTATTGGCCCCCACAGATTATAGCTACTGCAATAAAATTGCCAACAGACTCATACACCTTACACTAACTGGTCACTGGGGAGCGAGCAATTCTATGTCGTCTAGTCCTTAGTGTTGACCGAGTTCTGTCGATCATTTTGCGATGTTGTCGTCAAGCTAGAAGACTCACCACCCTGGTGGACTTTGCTAGATATCAATTGGTTGGAGGGAAACGGTAAGCCCTGTTCAACAAAGGTCTCGTGCTTGTTAGCACTCGTCAGGAAGACGTACCTACAACCTCGAGAGAATGGATGTTGCCCCAGAGATTCGAGCCCGTCACTAAGTGCTGCAGTCAGAGACGTTACAACTAAGGAACTCAATCAACTAACATCTATCAAAAGGCACCGCAGTGGTGAACCTCCTAGCTTGATGACCACATTGCAAAATGATCACTGGAATTCGACTAGCACATAGAACTAGATAAGACAAAATTGCAGGCACTTCAGTGACCAATCAACGTATCTAATCCAGTGCTGGAGGTCAATCGCTGCCCATAAGCACGGGCTGTAGACGGTTGTCTTCAGCCAACTAGCACTCATCCTACTTGTCAATGTTTCGCAAAAGAACAGTCATGAACGGTCATTCAACATTTAGACAAAACGCACATCAAAACTCTTACTTAGGGTATAGAGGTATAAAATATTTCTCGAGATTCTTATCTGATATCTGATACTGATATCGAAGTATTTTAATTAACTGTGAAATTTCTGAGTAACAAATCATCCCTGGAAACTTTGAGGCAGAAAATATCATTTTAAGGATCACCTGCGATAAAGAAAAAATCCCTGTTTATGGGATGATTTACCGTAAATTCTGAAACGACCACGTTCGGGTAAGCAACTTTTAGCAATGTGATACGCTCGACACGCAGCTAGTGAAAAATACCACAACACCTTTCAACGAGTGAAGCAAAGAGATTATTAGAATCAGGTACAACTGTGCATGCTAACACAGAAATTTCAGCAATAGAACTTCAATCAGACAATACCAATATGAAACTTGCCAAAACTGAGTAACGGTCCAAGTTTACATCTCACACCAAGGTAGAATGTATCAAGATGAAATATAAAGAAATAACCAAAAGTAGTAGACAGTTATGAAGAACAAAGAGCCTGATACAAATGTATTGGTTCGACCTACAACACTTCACAACAAAACGAAGAGAAAGAGTGAATAGGAAACAATTGATATCAAAGTGAAGAGAAGTGTATAGAAGGAAAAGAAATTTGAAAACCGGTTGGTGAAAATATTCAAAAATTAGAAAACATCAAAGAGTGAGTACATCTACACCATTTGACTAATTTTTAACTATTTCATCAAAAGTCCTCAGTCGTTGATTTCCATCATCTCGGGGACCCCAGCCAGGTAGTCTACGTCTCCTGGCACGGCTCAGATCAACAACCAGAGAGTTCATCGACTGCTGGCAAGTTTCGGTCTGGTAACCCTGAGTCTTCTTTCAACTTAATCCAAATCCTCTCAGCATTGTAGGTCGACATAGGTGGTGACCCGCCGTGCCCAACATCTCCAAGCTGCCTCAGTCGCTAAACGTTCACAACCTCGCCAACTGACTGCTGTCTCGCCTAGTACTGTTTGCCTGACCTCTATATCGCTCACATGGTGATTTCATTGTACGCGAGCAATCCAATGGAAACAACCGTAGTCGAAAACCTACAGTCTCTCTATATCCAATTTAACGACTGTTTCACAGCCGCATAAGACAGAACGGATTGCAGCGTAGTATACTAGTTTTCTAGAAGGTACTACATCTCACTAGTGGCAGAGATGAAGTGATATGGTAAATGTCTGGTGGAACTTTTGTATCTGAGGTGAGATTTTGTCGTCAACCAGCTTTTTCAGGCTAACGCTACTCTTAAAGTGATATAGTCGACGCATTTTATTGCCTCACTCCTTGTCTCTAAACTGGGATTGGCTACACAGCAATCCTTAAGCATCATTTGACTGGTCTAAAACTCATGCCAAAAGTAGACTTCCGCTCAGGCTGATCACAAGACTGCATTCCGTCAGCGTCTTCATTTAACACGACTGTTTCATTTGCGTACTTCAAGTCGATCAGATACCCTCTTGTGAGTAAAACAATCGCTGAAAAGGTCCAAAGTATTTAGTGATGAAGCTACTGTCATGTATATAACTATGTTGGACAGAAATGATGGTGAACTTCCTCGGAGAACCACTAGTTTTCGTTAGTTCAGATAACTCTCATTAACCCCTTACAAGGCTGTATGGATTCGAGTAAAGAGCTTTGATTAGCAGTACATACTTGCTCGGATTTTGCCTTACATGTAGACACTGTCCAATTTTGGTTGACTATCTTGATATGATGGGCAGTCTAGCACATCACAGTGACCCAATGAACTATGCTGATCGGAACGCTTATTTCTTCGAGGTCTTACCATACCAGAAAGATCAGTTGGGTAGTGATAAGATGAAAGGCAGTTACCGTTATAGTGTAGACTGGGGGGTTCGAGGGGGAAGTCGCATTGTTGATGGGATAGGGGTATGACATTACAATATTTTCCCCGGATGACCAGCAGTGGCACACTGATGTCGCCTTCCTTGTGTGGTGTTAGAGATGTAGACTCCCAGAAAAGCATACTCATCATTACTTTGTGATATACCAGTGTCAGTGATACGGGTTCACATTTGGATTCGAAAAATATTAAGGGATATCTCAAATTTATAAACAGGGGTGTGATCGGCTTTAAGTAGACATCCTTTGATCTCTACGGTTACGAACCACAATTATGAACCCAACTATGCCAGCACTCAACTGCCTTTAGGTTATTATCAACCTTTCACATCATGTTCTGATCTACCTGCACGTTTTTTTTATCAATGTTTCTTACTTCATCCCTAGTTTCTTCCAACTTCACAGCTCCCGATAACTATTTTAGTTCAGGGAACAGTGTCACTGATCTGAAACCGCTCCAAAATACAAATCAGAGCTTCAATATTCTTGCGCTTCGTCGAATCTGCTAAGAAGCTTCGTTAGCCAAATCTCTGGTATTGTGGGTCACAGATGTTTGCTGTGCTTGCGATATATGCACACGAAACCTAAATGCGGTTATTCCCGTAACCTCAATCAGACAAAATTCACCCCTTCATAGATCCAATGATAAGCTATCACAGTCTTGCAAGCGCATATACAACATTAATTACCAAGACAGAAAGTGCACTGCTTGATTGAATACCAGTTGTCAGTGGTACAGTGAGGACTGAGGAAAATAACGAAACCCACCGTCATTTTAAAATCTCCGCTTACGCACCCACTGACTGGGATTTAGATGAGTTCTCCCGAAAACTGTCTAGCTTCCTACTGCGAGCCAACGTTCAGATATAGTTGTCGTAGCAGGTAATTTCAGTGAACAAGTGAGTAGGTTAAGTCAGTCAGAAAGGCACTTCAGTGGCACTTTCGGACCCCAGTGGGACGAATCAGATAATAGGGATCACCTACTACAAATAAATTCGGACAGCCATCTACTACTGTCCAACACGAACATCAGACATAAAGAGGGATACTGTTTGACGTGATACCCACCGATCTCAACCCAAAGGTCATCATCATTATCAACATAGGACCAGGCATTACTGCGTAACGGTCCAACTTGCCACACCTCATATCAGTACATCAAATAAAAAGGTAGTGAGGTGAAGGATGAAGATAAGTGAATGCAGTCAAAAGAAATATAAAGTACGACAAGAAATGAAAGAGGAGTGACAAAATGGTGAGATTCGGTATAGCGTTTTTAAGATGAGGATAATAAGTGTATACATCTGAGCCACTGACATCGGTTCTCAGCCATATCACCTAGTCTCCAACCCCTGGTTCTTCTTGTCCCGCGGACCCCAACCACCTAGTCTGCATCGCCCTACATGGCTTAAACCAACAATCAGAGACTTCATACATTGGTGCCATGTTTTAGTCTGACCACCTCGGGCCTTTTTCCAGCCTGGACCCACCTCAGCCAACATTGTGTGACGAGGCAATCGGTGACTAGGCATACGTAGTACGTGTCTCAACCATCTCAGTCGATGAAGGTTGACAACCTCGTCAACTGACTTACCTCTTCTCCCCAAAACTCTACACCTAACTTCTGCATTACTCACATAGTGACACCACAAAATACGTCCTATACTACGAAGGCAACGGTGGTCAATAGCTTCAAGCCTTCTTATATCCTCCACTTTCAATGGCCATGTTTCACAGCCAGACAGTAGAACAGAGTGGACTGCTGTGCAGTACACGCCACCCTTAATAGACAAACGAATATCAAAGCGACGCCATGGGTGGCGCAAATTGGTAAAAGCCAATCGAACCTTTTGTATCCGTGCAGAAATCTCATCGGCAACTAACCCATCAAGGTTGATCCTACTTCCCAGGTAAGTGAAGTGGTCAACACACTCAACCACTTCACCCTATTGTTAGCCGCGGTGGGGTACCGTTGAAGACCAGTCCTGGAGCAAACATTTGCATTTAGATGGTCAGAAACGCATCCCAAACATTCTCATATTGTCACTCAAAGTGTTCAGAAGACTCTGCATCTCATCAGTCAGCGTCTTCACCTAACAGGACTATGTCATCTGCATATTCTAGATCTAAAGAAAATTCACCTGTGATTGGGTCAACGTCTGTGTAATTAGGTGACGAGAGGGAAACCTCCATAAGAATATCTATGATAACATTAAATAAGAATGGAGATAGTGGGCATCCTTGACGGACACCACTTGATGAGTATAGCTCCCTGGACAACTCACCATAGGCTCTAACATGCCCAAAAGTGTTCGAGTAGAGAGCTTTCAATAAGGTGATGTACTTACTAGGCACGCCTTTCAGTGACAGACATTGCCATAAGACTTCTCGATCAACGGAGTTAAATGCCACCTTCAGGTGGAGAAATACAGCTATTGTCGGACGTCTGTAAACATGCCTATGTTCCAGGACCTGGCGCAGTGTGAATATTGGGGCCGGATGGTCGAAAGGAAACGACAAGTGAACCAACCAGCAGACCGTGGGGCATGGTGGAGTGTGTTTTCTGGGCCGACCTTTTCTAAGCCCCCCCCCCCCCGCCTTCCACTGAGAAGGCAGCATCAGCATGGCACTGCTGGTCATCCAAGGGAAACACCTTACTGCTGTCACACCCCATCCAGCTAGCAGCAGTACGACTTCGCCCTCAGACCCCCATCATAGTGTAGCAATTTACATTATAACGGTAACTGCTTTTTGTCTAACCACTATCCAACAGACCTTTCTGGTATGGTAGGATCTCGAGGGAACAAGCGTTCCACCAGCATAGCTCGTTGGGTCATTGTGATATGCGAGGCCGACCACCACGTCGAGGTAGCAGTTATCGGTCGGGTGAACACAGACCAAATTATGATCAGTTATCGTTGGATAGCCGTTGTAAGACTGAATATCCTCCTGTATCACGTGCAATCACGCATTGATTCGAACACGTGTCAACGTCTGAATGGATGTGGAAAAACTACAGCGACGAAACCATCGCGAGTACAGCTCCACGATGAGAATACGAAAGCTGCTTACAGCGAGAAACTAGCTAATTATCGGAGCAGAACACCACTCATCTAGAAGCCTGGTATCATCTCTTGTCTGCTAGAAAAACAGCGGTGAAGACAGTAGCCGAGTCTCAAAAAGTGTCAGTGGTCATCAACAACTTCAGGATTAATCGGTGTGCGAACACGGGCTGGCTTTGAGCACAATGAGGAGCGGAAGCAACTAAAATGTTGACTGATGAGAAGTCTATGCAACGCTCATCGGTGTATGGTGGGGGGTTCCGGTGACAACTAGAATTGATGGCTGGATATTATTTGATAAAGCTTAAAATCTATGTCAACGGTAGAGGTGTATCAACACATTATCTTCGTCTAGACCACCATTCTGAATTTCAGTGCTCTGTCATTCCTCTGTGCTATCTAAGAATGTTTTCTTACCAATTGTGATCGCTTTCTTTATTTATCTTTCATGCTAGTGTATTTTCGCATGATGTAATAGCATGAACTATGCTGTAGATACACCTAGTCGTATAGTTAAGCAAAGTTTTGAATTTTTATCATCACACGTTACCTTCGATGGCTTCTGCTTAAGCAGTCTAGGTTGTTTTTATCCCATGATGATAACTTATTTTATAGACCATGAGCATTAGAAAATTTGATTAAATATCAGGATGTTATACAAGGTTAGTATTATCCTATTTAAGAAACAATATGAGTTTGGTCCTTTTGGTGATAGTCCTTAGTGACATAAAGCCGTGGTTATCGACTCCAGAACTCTGACGTAAAACACCCTTACTCGGTGGATGCGAAAAAGAATCAATCGGTAGTATGTGCCAGGTTTATTTAACGCAGCCATTTATAAACGTGAAAATCCTGAACATTACCCCCACTCAGTACCCAACAGTCACGGGAATAACCTAAGTTTAAAGCTAATACACATCTTAAAATTCAATATAGGTGTAATCAGGTAATTGCGTGACCGATGAGTGTCAAGATAATTAAGAACATTTCGAAATTTAGCACCAATTCGACTTTTATTATTTCAGCAGTATGACTGCTATTGAATGCAATCTTACATGAAATTCCATGTTAGTGCATTCGGTGAAACCATAACATGAAGTGTGCAGTGAAAGGTTATTTACATACATCGCAGTACACCTTTAGTCTTTTGTTAACAGTCTAGGAAAAAACCTTTGGATGTTACATAATCACTAGGACTTAATGAAATGAGTTAGAAAACGAAGTAACTGATTCTAAGGAGTGCAAAAATTTTATAAAACGAAACCAGTTTATTTCCTTATGGCCAAACTAGAATATGTATACATAAATCAGTGAAGCTACTCTGCACAGATGTCTTGTAACCATAAATGAGCTTGATGAACCAATCAACTATTATTAACGAAACTGATGAGTACCTGCCAAGAAAAGGTAAAAAACGACCATTGAGGGTTTGTTGATTTCAACACTGGATATATACCATATCACTGAACATAATACCGACTATTCTTATGAGTTACAATAAAGTGAGAATGCCGATAGGTCATGTTGATAATGTGACAACCCCAGCTTAGATGAAGAGTTTTTACTAATAGTTCCAATCCTATGGTACTCGTTTTCGTTCCTCTGATGGATTGTAACTCACGAGTAACTATTTTACTCAGTAAAAGGTGTATTAATACTCAGATTACCTTTTTTGATAAAAGCAGAACAATAAGATTTCATTCTATTCGCACCTATTTACTTCAGGTCCCTACAGTTTGAAGCCACAGAAATATGTATAGAGGGACCAAAGAAGTTTGCACTGTGTAAACTCAGTTGAGATGTAGTTCGTTATTAAAACAAGAGATAGGCAGATTAACATAGAACTGTAGGTGAACGGTAATAAAAACACTATGGAGTGGCAGCGGAAAAGTCGACAAGCTGTTATCCTGCTGAAAACACTAATTTAGTAGTCACATTTCAACACAGAGCTTTGCGGTAAGTACGGACTATGAGGGAAAACTCAGGACCTGGAGCTGGCAACCAGCTAATTTTGCAAGGGAATACATTATCTCAGATATTCTTGTTTATCCAACAAAAAAGCAACTACAGCTCTGAAGCTTAACAATTAGTAAACTATAGTTCTATGCCCAACACACAGTAAATAAATGACAGTTTAAAGTACCTTGAATAACTTCTTTCAGTAGTGATGACTTCTGCTTTTCCTCTAATACTTCCCCAAGAATAATTGCCACCCGAGTAACAGCCATTAACCACGCACACCAAAGAATGCTTTTGGCGGTTGAGATTTAAAGTATGGGTAAGGTGACGTCATAAAACAATATATTGAGCACAAAAGCAATTGATTACTTTCGTAGAAATAAAATGTCCATCATTCCATAAAATACCCTTCTATTTATTTTCAGGAAGCTCGCAACTATTTAAAGAATAGTATTTATGATGAATGCTGAGCTATCATCGCATGTAACACTGCCGTCATGTATTACCGGGAGACAAAAAGAAACGGAGATCTATGTCAAACTTTAATTTACTTCACTGTATGATTATTTAAAGTTCCATAAGCCAGCCTGTTCTACATTCAGCTCCAAAGGGGTTCAAGTCCCTTAAGGTAATAAGCAACTCCACTCGCGAAATGCCTGGGCTAAAAGGATACCACTAGGACAAGCATAAAGGCAGTGACACTGAATATACATACAGACCACTTAAACAGACAGGAAATATGTACTGAGGGCCTATAGGCAATAGCATCAGACGAATATGTTTGTTTCTAGTCCGAGAAATCTGTTCCGCTATTCTGCATGGTTCAGACAGGCTAAAGCGGACGTTTCTCAACTGCTGGAGCCAAGTGGGCTGAATAGTGGCGACAGTGAAGCAGCTGATTTCCTAGCTGACAAGTATTTGCGAATAGTTCTGTTATCAACGAACTGTTTGGGGGTTTTCGAATATCCAGTCAATGAAGTGGGACCCTCGGTTGTTGACTTAAGCGTTGAGCTGGTATAGTGCAGATTGTTGCTCATCGCAAAAGATACCTCTCCATAAAAAGACATTATCTGTGAGGTGGCACTGTGGGAAGGAACATCATAGTTGACTCAACCTCTGAGAAAGTTATTCAAGGATTTTCCTAGTCGAGGCGAAGCTCCGAACCTTTAGGAGTCGGCCACATAACGCCCATCTTCGAAGGCGTTCAACGAGCCAGCACGAAGGAATCCAGACCAATGACGCCCTTATCTATACCTTGAATCAACTTATGGCGAAATGACGGATCACATCACGATGGCTGACTCCTTTATGCCCTAGGAACACGGATTTGGAAAAGTGCTCCTGCACTGCCAACATACTACAGTAGATAGACGGATTGGTAGTATCGACCGTAAAAGTCAAGATGATACTATTTATCGGACTTTTCGGAGGGATACGATAGTGTTATTCACAACCACCCCGTTTATAAACTAAAATTAATCGGAATTATTGGACCACTACTCAATGACTGGTTGTCTTCAGATTTACGAGGTCGTTCACGTGGAGTTCGAGTACATCTTTCTGTTTTAAGAAGCGAAATGTTTTAGTGGAGTTCCTCAGGGTCTGTCACTAGGGCATCTTTTTTAACGCACATAAAAGACTTGCTTCAACAGGTTTCTTCCGAAATCCTTCCTTTTGCCGACGACATGAAACTATAGAGAGAAATCATAAGTCAGAATGACAGCGTTTCTCTAAATTAAAACTAAACTCAACTTAAGGACTCGGGGATCATCTATTGGCTTTCATTTGACCCTGAAAAATAGAAGGATGTGCATTCAAGACGGCGTGCGATTTGACGCGTCTCAGACGGAGCAGGACTTGGGTGCTTTATTCTCTCCAGACTTGGAGTCCCATGCCAACTGTGACAGAATGGAGTTAATGGAAAGTTGGCGTTAGTAACTCACAGGCAGACTCCTGGGCATTTTGGCTGTAGCTGTTTTGATCAAATCTCCAACAGCTTTATGTGGGCCAACCCGGAGTTCCGGACTGTAGTCTTTCCTCCATTCTGCAGAATGACAGATTAGGCCAAGAACTCATCCAGATGCGGCCATCCAAACTGGATTTGAGACTCAGGCATGAAGCATAAGAATAACGACTGGTGGCGCTTGATCTTTTTCCCTGAGGTATAGGAGACTAAGAAGGAACTTGATTTCGGCTCACGACATCATGAATACCCGTGGACACGCACTCCGTTACCCGTCGAATCTTAGTTGTAGCACCAGTTTTAGGGATGCATGAGAAAACTGAGCCTAGAGCATAGGAAATTGGACGTCAGACGCAACTTCCACTCCCCAAGGGTCATTGAATCCCGGACAGCTTTTCATGGAAAGGTGATCCAGGCTACCTCACCCTAATCCTTTAAACGCCCGTTGCTACACCCTTAAGATACAGGTGGGAGTTTACTCAGAACTAGCCGAATATTCGAACTTTAGCCGCCAATCTTTTCTCCCCCTTTTCCCGCGCGCAGCCTAACAGCCACTGTAACTGGTGGTTCACAGATTCTAGACGCGGAAGCCAGACAATTAAAAGACTTCGTTCCGTCAATAATCAAATGAAGAGTTTGAGCTACTTTATCCGCTATAAAGAAGAAAGACATCTTGTAAGGGTAGAGGGAGTTCTGTCTCCTAGGAAAACAGTGAAAAAAGTAGCTACCCCCCAGATAATACCTTAGGTCCGCTTTTTCTGCTTTGCTTGGACTGGTGGTCCACGTTTGCAGATGATGCGACTTTGGAGACCTATTGACATTGGTGAAGTGAACTGATCTTGCAGGATAACCTGAGCGCTTATCAGATTGTTTCACTAGACAGCGCCGATTAATTGATATCCAAAGCACATCCGTCCAAGATGGTCAGAAAGATCCGCATGTCTACTTGATTGTCTGGATGCTGGCATCCAAAGTAACCACAGGGACCTGTGTATCACGAATATTTTAGAGTGATGCGTGAGACTTGCAGCTCAAATGAGCATGGTGATGGCTTGGTATTCTCTGTGCACTTATTATTATGACAAAGTATCAAGGCCCGGGGAAAACCAGACCAGTGCTGTAGTCATGACCTGGAAACACCAGCTAACTGCACTTTGGCAACCACTAGAGACTTTCGGATCTTGTGGCCCTTGCAGACATTCTTGCATGGGTTTCATGAGAAAATAATTTGTACCTTTCTCTTGACAAATAAAAGATTTTATCCGAAGCGCAAGACTCGAGCAGCTAATCCGTGTTTCAATTATGAGGCTGGAATTTTCATGAATGCTTTACAGGGTAGAAACAAATGGTTAATGGGCCCCTGGACCTCTGTTGTAAGGAAAATTAAATTGGTGAAGTTTATTCTATTGTCTTATCGCAGAATGACTGGTAACCTCATTTTTGCCTACTGTTAATTGGATCGAGCCTTGTGTCCTAACTTATATACTACCCTGCAGAATTGTTTACCCTAGAGGCCACCGGAGGGAGGCTCACAATCTACCGTCAAGTTGTCTACACCCGGAGGTATTTTCTCCGCGCAAAGTTGTGGACCACTGGAGCTCTCCAAAGAACTACGCAGTTTCTGCGCCTTCTGTTAACAATCTCAAGGTGAGCTGAGATCCCCCATTACTGCCAGTATAAAGGATCAATGTGAATCGTAGGAAATGGAGATGAGTGTTTGCAACTCAGAGCGTGGATATTCAGGTTGTTATTTTCCGAGCCAGGATTCGGTCGGTAAACTTTTCGGTCTCATGTTGGATGACACTGTCGCCTCACAAGGAAGTGAGACGACTGCTCGCGCATGGGTACTGACCACATGCTACTAGCCTAGGTCCGATCTGATCGGTGGATGAGTGAGCATGGGCATGCAGTGAGCTCGACTGTTCAGCGACCTGTCCCCCAAATGATGTTAAACTATTTCATAGGTTGACAGCCCTTGCCTGCTCGCAGCAGGCTGTGGTTGCTTCCCTGCGATAGATTGGGTGTCTTCGTCTAAACAAACTGACGTAGGCCTTTTTCGTTCTTTTGGTTGACACTTTCGTTCAGCTGAGGCCACGAGGGTCACCTTCATCTGACTGACTGGCTTTTCTCTATCGGAAAGAAATACCTTAAGCTGAATGAGTGAGTTGCCCCTAACGAGGGGACGTGCCTCACCGTTGTTGGCTAGTTGGTCCTAACTGGGATGAGTGATCTTTCTGAATCGTCAGTAAAGTGCAAGAGTTCGAATAAGCATACGCAAGTTATCTCGCACTGATTTTTAACACGATCTCCTCTCAAGTTGAACAAAGAGTCTGCTGACATATTGATCCGTTGTTTCTTGCCACTGATTCCTTTTAAATAGGGACATACACTGCACCTGCGTTAAGGTGAAGGTCTGTCCCTAGTCTTCGATAGTGCCGGACCGTCAGACGCTCTCGGGCCACTCTCAGTCTGCCCTGTCTGTGCTAACCGAAGATAAGTGTTCGAATACTAGTCCACTCTGAGATCTGGAGCGGGAGTTGACTTTGCACTAAAGCGAAAGGAAGAAAGGTCAATTAGAAAACTGGGCTGTTCTCAGCCTAAGTGATAAGGTTCCGTATAGGGCTCCATTGTACCACCGATAGTATGTCTGTATTCAGCACACCCAGGCATGTCGTTTCAAGTGCACGGACAGTAATGGCAAAATAACTAAGTCCACTGGGGCTGTATAAAGGTTAGTCGTTGTACACATCACATTCTAAAGGTTTACGAACGCTGATTTCCCTAAACCCGTCAAGAGTAATAGATTCTTCATCGTAATCGCCCTAAAAGGCAGTCAGATACTCTCTAAAAACCAACGCCCACACCATTCGATAGGGACACCCTGAAAACTTCCTGACCCATTGAAACGGGTGCAAAGGAGATAAGGGTCAGATGAGAGTCAAGTTTTTGAGGAATTCAGTTAGCGATTGATAAGGTAATGAACAAGAACTGCCCAAAAGGCAAGCTGGTTACCGCAAGTGACTCTATAGCTGCGCTACAACCATGAAGAGTCTACAAAACCTTAGGAAGTCTGACCCCGCCAGCCAACAATGTAATCAAGAGCAAGATGACAGCGGCAGTGGAAGATGACATCCAGGGTGCTATAAGTATAATCCAAACCACTTGGAACTTACAGGAATATCGAAGAGACGAGCTATTATAAAGGAACGAATTAAACAGTCATTTGCCACCCAGACATGTACCTGGGTATGCATTTTGTAGAGGTAGAACGTAACTGTCAGTTGAAAAGCCCTACATGCCTAATATGCCAGTGAGCGGTATTAGCAGTTGGAGGCGACTGAAGTTCATGTACCGATTTGGCAG